TAATTAAAGGAATTAAATAATTCAAATATGTATCACAGTATAGGTAAAAAATAGGTGTATTCGAGGTGCAATTAATGCGGCAGTGTTACTCTGAATGAATGAATGAAATTTGGGCGAACAAAATTTTGACAATCAGTTACTCGTTATTGGCAAATCAAAAGCAACATACAAATTTTTACTGCGCAATTTCTGCAACATTTTAGAAAAGTTTAAGTTGAGCATCAGCAACATGTCATCAGGAAAGCAACAAGTCCGCAATATTGTGGTAATTATTACGTAGCTCGAACGCACCCATTGTAATAAAACTACTTTTTTGTAACAATAACAGTCTTATTTATTGTTAAGAGAATTTCGTAAGTATTAACTTGGAGTAAATTAGCGTCCTCAATTACTGAAATATCAGAGTTTTCGTATTTTAAACGCATTGCTTTTCCATACCAAGTGCACCGAGTTTGGTGCAAATTGATAAATCGGTTACCGAGATATACATTTGTGGTCAAAAGTGCGCGGCGCCACGCCCATTATCCAAAAAATTATAATAATTTTAATTATTGCTAAGAGGTTATTCCAAGAATCGATTTAGAGTGAATTAGCTTCAGTAGCTATTGATTTATCGCAGTTTTCGCGTTTCTGTAAATTACCGTTATATGGGAAGTGGGCGTGGTTATCGCCCGATTTTAAGAATTTTTAGGAGTTATGTTAGATATAGCCTAAGCAAGGCTCATACCGAGTTTGGTACGGATTAGTGAAGCGTATACTGAGATACAGCATTTCATCATAAGTTTCATCATAATCATTTATTTTACATACTAATATTTAACAATTTGGATACAATATTTACTGAAATATGGTAGATTTATCTAAATTTAAACGCTTGTATACCCAAAACTATTTCTTTAATCATCACTTATATACCACCAATGTAAAGGAAAACAAATGTTTATTCCGAAATATATAATGTAGTTGGGTTCGCCTTACATTCCCGCAGATTTCTAGCAACAGGACCGAAAGGTCGTAGAAAACACGACTTTTGCTAATATCTCGAAAACTATTTATTTGTTAAATTAAATGGACTCATATTCTAGTTCAGCGGCCTCAAATTCATCTAAAAAGTTTAATTTCAGAGTTAAAATAGATCTAAAGTAGTGTTACTATATACTAGTTGCGTTTTTAGATTTTTCCTTAATACATTTTCTAAGTTAAGAAATACCACTTATCTGCCATTTTCTGCGGGCAGTCTTTTCACAATATATTAGCCAAATTTCTAAGCTTTCAATTGAACAAAGAATAATAACGCGATCTCTCCCTTAAATACAACAAATTCCTTAATATTCACAAAAATTAACAAAAAAATATTTGTTGAAAACCGCTATTTTCGTTACATTTAAATTGAAATTTTGCTTAATAAAATGATTAAAAAAAATTTACCCTTAAATTCATTATTACCTTCTGTATGCGGATCCATCACTACTTTTTAAGAATATAATGCAGAAATCAAAATATTAACTTAAAACCCTCACGATCCTTCTAGAGAGCCAAAATTTAATTATAAGCAGCGTTAGAATATTCTGTTTCCGGTCAACGGTGAGCTTTCGCTGTGCAAGTTAAAAAAGTGAGGGGGACTGGGAAATGTTATTTGGAATTTTCTCTATCGAAAGTGACTATTTGTTTAAGTTTTCTCCAAAATTTTGTCAAATGGGTTTTTTGGCCGCCTAAATCGTTAAATACCCCTATGTGCGCTCTCTCACAGTGCACAGAGAAATGCCTAAAATTGCACAAAATTTATTATTTTTACAAAACGATTTTTTTTTCAGGGAAATTACCTGCGCTTCGAGTATTCCATAGAAAGGATAGTAACGGAATTAAATATGTAAAGTAACTATCGATAGTGTGGAATCTTCCACTGCTTATTATTTATGTATACAAGCAAGTAACCAAGCCAAGCAATAATTTCTGTGCAAGCGATTATCCCTTGGTACAGTCTACTTGCAATTAGGAAACTATTTAAATTTAAAATATATTTACATACATATGTACGTAGATACATAGACATTTGGAAACGTGTTTCTTATCGTAGGGAACGAGAAACATAAGAAACGCGTCGCCAATAGAAAAGATAAGCGAAATACAATAGGAGATAGTCTAGCGATAAAGGAGATCAATTTCAATCGCCTGTTTATGTTGCTGTTTGTTGTAGATATATTTAATACCGTATACTGCGTATACCGCGATAGGGGATGATCGAGTACAATTGCTTGTCTTAGATGTTTAGTTAGGACAACTGGGAAACGCTTATTATCAGTAGCGTGAAACCAAAATAGTATGTAAGCACATAAGATACACATACATCCATATATGTGTATTAGGAATATTTGTGTTTGCATATAAATCCTGCAGTAAAACTTAGAGACAGTCTGACAAAGAACTAGTTCCGAACTAAATATATAAGAACTATCTCTGAGCTAGTGCCAAAAGGATGCAGAGCGGGACAGTTGAAACTTGCAGTGTAAATGTGCAAATGCTCACTGTTGAAGACATGAGCTACCAGTGTTGCCAGCTTTTCAGTTTCAAAAAGCACCAAATCTTGGAAAAAAGAGTGTTTTACCGCACTAAAGGCACTAATATTTTTTTTTTTTTTTTATCAAAAGATACCCTTTTTTATAACAGTTTGTGGTAAACAAAAGTAAAAAAAATAAACAATATTTACATGTATAAATAAATACACATTCATGCTTGCGAAGTAATACCAAAGTACTGCACATTAAAACTGGTACATATGGAGAAGGAACAATCGAATCGCAACAAACGAAATTGAATTTTAAAGGGGAAGAGTAATACTTAATGATACCCTAAGTAGAAATAAGCGAAAAAATTTGTTGTTTTATAATATAACCTCAAATATTGCGAAAACACTTAGAGGCTAGGATATCTCAAAATTCTGACGTGGTATAGAAATTCTGCAGCTATATTTGTATTCAGCACCGAAGAATCTACAAAAACCGGTGCACTCAGGTGACAAAAAAAGTTAGAATTTTTCGAACTGTGTAATCAATCAATAATCAAGAAAATAAAAAAATAAATACTTAACTTATCTGCGTGCTAGCATTTTCAACGCGAATACAATTTAACAAGAACGCAAGAACGTGGGTTTGCAACTTCATCTTTTTATCAATCATGATTTGCATTTTAGTGCATTTAAATTTGTAGATTCTGTTAAATTCAGAAATTTATTTCAGAAAAAAGCACTAAAAAGGTCACTAGGCACTAAACCATTTTTTTTTGGCTGAGGGTGAGTGCATGCAAATTGAATCAAATTTGGATTTTTTTTATTGAAATGCATAAAATGTCTGCTTTCGTTTTTTTCACACACAAAAAAAAATGTTTGATATGAATTGAATCAATCTCAAAGATATTAACATATTTTACAATAACTTAATTATTTTATTTAAAGGCCCGAATTTATGTTGTTTAATCTTAAAGATTGGTGTGAATAATTAACCAATACCGTAAACAATATTATGTGTAGTTTTAATTTTTACTGATAATTTGTGTAGCTAAAAACCCCGCAAACTCGAGAAATCTCGTTTTAATGATGAACAAATTTTGGTAGTTTGGAAACTGATTTGGTAGGCGTTTTGGTACCTAAAAATATTTTCAAGTGGCAACGCTGCAACATACAGCTCAGGCGTTAACTTTTTGAGGCAGCGTTGTTACTCGTCTATCAGCCGCCAAAGCAAGCGCGTCGCCTAAACATGCATAGATAATTATCGTAACCCTTTTAGTACATTAAATGCGATATGTAAACTTTAAATATCATTTTCAAATAAACTCCTCATAATTATTATACTCAATCAAACCCTGTGTCTCATTAATTACCGAATTTTAAACACTCACAACTCGTACATTACAACAGTAGCTCGGCGAGAATACCTCTGACTCAAGCATCGTTGGTCGCAAGTTCAAACCGCGGTGGAGGCAGTTGTGAGTTTTCAAATTTGATGAATTTTAATTGTTGCGTGCAGCTTACAATTTTTTTTAATAAAATATGTAACAAAAATGGAATCTGTAACAGAAAAAAAATCCAAAAATTGAATCTTAAAAACGGTTTCTTATAAAAAAAAACTGTCCAAAACGGAACCAGTTAAAAACTATTTGGAAAGTAATGCACTGGGTGACAATTGCCACCGCCAATGACGTCGCTGTTTAAAACTGGACAGTTGAAAGCATTGCTTGGGTATTGAGCTAGAACTAGTACTGTCGGAAAAAGGTCTAGTTCTACGCTAGTTCTGAGCTAGTCAGATACGTATAGTAGAATTTTGGTACAAAATAATATTATGAAATTTTTGGAAAATGAAATCTCAGTAGTCGCTTCACCAATCCGTACCGCGTACCACGCCTACCTCCGATATAACGGTAATTTCCAGAAACACGAAAACGGCAAT